ACAGGGTATGTGGCTGTTGGTCCTGTTAGCAGCACGTAAAACAACTTTTATTTAAATTCTGAATCGATTATAGCCTGCCTAGAAAGCGATCAAATAGTGCTTTCATCTAACGTTAATCACTAAAAAGCTGTCGCTCACTTCAATTTATCGTGATCTCAGGATTCCGTGAACTGCAAACAATATCTTATTTACATCGTGTCTATGTGTGGAGTTTAGCATTCAGTGAATTCTGACAGTGTCATCAAAGACATTTGTCATTATTTTACTTCCATATACCTACAAAATAAATGTTAACTGTAAATGTTCAAAAATGTTAATGTAAAACTTATTTTTATTTGAGCTACTTGACAAATCAACATTTCTCACGGTCATTTAGTCTAACTTGATGTAATAAAATAACTAAAACTAAAACTGAAATATAAACGTACAAAAACCTATATAGACATATTTGGGGGAAAAAAAAATAACTACTAAAAATAACAAAAACACAAAACCAAAATTACTAAAACTTGAACTAAAATTAAAATTAGTATTATAGTAATAAGTAATACTAAACTAACACTGGACCAGATATCTTTAAACAAATGTTGAACTATTAACGTTAGTGGAAGAACGTTTGTTCATAACAGTGAGAGAGCCTTGCTTCAAAAAGATGATCTAATGAAATTAATTGAGCTGCAAAGCATCTCGTTTCAAGCTAAATAATTTGTTAATGTGAGAATTCATTATTTCTTTACCTTTAACAGTGAGTCTGAAGCTCTTGTGTTGATTCTCATTTCTCCAGCAGGAATACAGTCCTTCATCTTCCTCAGTCAGGTCAGAAATCAGCAGAGAGAGGTTTCCTGAGCTTCTATCAAACATGTGAAATCTGCCCTGATAGCGTCGGTGGAGTTCAGTGGGGTTTATTTCTCTGTAGTTTGGTAATTTCCATCTGAACTCTGAATCTGGTTTATGACGAGCAGTACATTTGAGCAAACAGGACAGAAACACAGATTCCCCTGAATATCTGCTGATCTCCACTGATCCTTCATTCCCTGATATAGAACAACCTGCAGACACAAAACACAACCAGCTATCTCATTATATATATCATGATAATATACTGTATCTGACATACAACACAGTAAAAATACTTTGCTGGTTCGATTTTAACTATACGCTTCATACACTTGAACACACCAACAGTCATCAAAACTTGTGATATCTGTGAATGTGATGTAAAAGTAATACATGTAAGTAATAAAAGTAAACGCACACACACACAAGCACACAAAGTAACAGCCACACACTAAAACATTTTGATTTTAAGGCACCCTGGTATAAAAAAAATCTCACACTTTTCCAGTTGATTGACTATATTAAGAATTGCAAACTATTTGCAATATATTGATTCACAAATAACCTTCCTGATTTATCTCAACTGCTCTGTGTACCTATAAATACACATGAACTAGACGAAATGACTAGCAACATGGGCACTATCTTCTCTAATACATTAATCGCAAAATATATAACGCTTCAGAATATTGATAGGAATAACACTGTTAAAGGGTAAGCTCACCCAAAAATGAAAATTAGCCTGTGTTTTACTCACCCTCAAAGCATCCTAGGTGTATGTGACTTTCTTCTTTCAGACGAATCCAATCTGAGTTATATTAAAAGTTGTCCTGGCCCCTCCAAGCCTTTCAATGGGGGTAAGCGGGTGTTGGCTGTCAACAGTTCAGAAGACGTGAAATATAGTGCGTGCATCCGTAATAAAACATCCCTCACATGGCTCCGGGGCATGAATAAAGGCCTCCTTTAGCGAATCCATTTTTGTAAGATAAATATCCATATTTTAAATGTAATAAACAATTTTCCGCTGACTGTGGTACGCGGAAGCCGTTCCGGCGGATGACGTAAGACGTCGACGTTGCGTAATTAGTGACGAACGCGGAGACAAAACAAAACAAAACTCCGTTCACGAATTAGAAGTACAAAACGAGGATTTGTAAAGAAAAATGTCGGAGGATTTCGATATAAGCCAAGAGGAGACGGCCTGGCATGCATAATACAGTGTTTTTAGTCATACTCGCGGATCCATGTGAAAGGAATCGTTTTGATAATACTGTCGCGGAACTTTTCAAAAAACCAAAGGAAAAACTTTTCCGTTTTTAGTACAGCGCAGAGGAGAGCGCAAAACAAAACACCGATCTTGAATTAGAAGTACAAAACGAGGATTTATAAAGAAAAGTGTCGGAGGATTTCGATATAAGCCAAGAAGAGACTGGTTTTCCTTTGCTAAAGTAAGGAAGCTTCCTTTGCTTCTGCATTTCTCAGAGGTGCACGCACAACGCCTACGTCTTACATCATCCGTCTGCATGTCTTACCATGCGTACCACAGTCAGCGGAAGTGAGAAAAAAGTGTTTATTACGTTTGAAATATGGATATTGTTCTTACAAAAATGCATGGATTCGCTACAGAAGGCCTTTATCCCCCCCCCGGAGCCGTGTGAGGAATGTTTTATCACAGATGCGCGGACTTTATTTCACATCTTCTGAGCTGTTGACAACCAACACCCGCTTACCCCCATTGAAAGGCTTGGAGGGGCCAGGACAATTTTTAATATAACTCAGATTGGATTCGTCTGGAAGAAGAAAGTCACATACACCTAGGATGCTTTGAGGGTTTGTAAAACACTAATTTTCATTTTTGGGTGAACTAACCCTGTAAGTGTGGTGTGTGTAAGTGCTTAAGTGCTGCTGGAGAAATGGATTGGAGTTGAAATCTAGACAAATAGATAAAGTACAATAAAATGAACACTTAGAAGAAGAAGAAACACTTTTTTGTATGTTTTCTTTCCACTAGTTTGTAACAACACTTTATGAAAAGCCAAATAACCCAAAATCTCAAAAGTGACCGATAGGAGTTTTTGTAGTGTCTCGCATCTTATAAGCATCTTATGTTTGGTTTGTATTATTATGAAATTAAACGTTCCTCACCTTCAACAATTAGCTGAACATAGCTCCTTTCGTCAGTCTCTGTTGTTTTACAGCAATACAATCCTGTGTCGTCTACAGTGAGTCGAGTGATGGACAGCGAGAGATTCCTGTGAATCTGAACTCTGTCTTTGTATCGCTGACCCTTAATAGCGTCCACTGGAAACACTGAGTATTGAGGAGTGTGCTTCTGAGAATCAAAAATCCACCACTGGACTTCAGCGTGACCTGAGTTTATATCACTGCAGGGCAGCAGCACAGACTCTCCTGGAGAACAGGTGATGTATGGTAACTCTACTTTACAGCCTACAAAGACACAAAAACACAGAAAACATTAAATCCTAGATCAAAATCGAAATACTTACTTGAGAAGCAGAATATTAAATATATTGAGTTATATCAAGTTAGCACACAATGAGTTGTATTAGCAAACAGTCTGAAAATACAACTTCCATCTCCATTCTTTTTTAATTAATCTTACATAAAGAGTATAGGATATGGAAACTTTTACAGTACCTTCTTAAAACACAGCAAAAAGTGCTGTTCAGCATCAGTATTCTTGTCTTGTTCAAAATTACGTGAGTTTATGATTAAAACAAGAAGAAATATCTGTCAATGAGGTCAGAAAAATCTACTTCATTCAAAGGGAAAACAAGTTTTTATACCTACCGACAGATATTTGTTCTTGTTTTAAACAAACTCATTTTGTTCAGTTTTTCAGAAAACAAGGATGTTTAGGTATTTGAATTGGAAAACAAAAATACTGATATTTATTCTTTGCAGTGCAGAACATTATGAATTTATGAATTTAAAATGACTTTCTGCTCTGATTTAAGACCTTTTAGGCATTAATTTGTGGACGGGTGGATTAAGACTTTTTAAGACCCACAGAAACTGATTAAATGAAGCATCCATGGACGTTTCAAAACAAACTTTTCATATTTATGATGTTAATGAACAAGCTAGTAATACGACGATTTATGAGCTGATATTTGGCCATTTTTTGATTATCAGTCTGATCTGACCGATCAGTTAAATTTCAATTGTTTTAACAGTTCAATAATCTACATACATGAACATAACATGAATTGTTATTGTCTTAGATTGCTACACTCCATTCTAGCAGTAAATCGATGGAAAGATCGACAAAAATAGCAGAAGTGCCGCAGAAACAGAAACAGCTAGCAGACTCAAATATAATGCGTTTCTTTGTCTGATGTAAATCAGTGTCTGAAGTCACTCGTTCGGTCGTACCTGTTGTGAAGTGAAGTCCAGAGCAGAGCAGAAAAACACACAAGCACATCACGTCTGAAGCCATGACTCTCTGCATGTCTCTTCTTTGTCTCTGTTCACTCGTCTTTTGGAAAGATAAAGAGAAGAAAAAGAGAAGTATGAGAAGTATTTCTATATTTACGCCATAGTCACCACATCCTGAGAAGTTCTGCCTCTGATAAAAATGCTGATTGGAGAAAGCATCTAATTTGATCATATATGTCCATAATATACACCATTGTTTTTGTACATGTAACATCTTGAAAAGCTTTACTGAAATATACCATTAACATGAAGCATGAAGTCTTTTATAGTTGTACTCTTTAAAATCTCTTAAAATACATACTAATAATATAGTAACAACAACAACAACTTTCTTTTGAGACTGAGGCAATAATCAATGTTTTAAATGCTTACATATACCTGTAACTCTGGCATATGGGCGAAAACACCCGTCTTGTCATGCCATATTCTCAAAACATTTTTAGAAATAAGAAAACACTATTATTTGCATGCATATTTAAGATAGTTTAGTGCATATATCACATCATTCTGTGTAGGAAAAGCACTTCAGTCTGTAAACACACCGATTGGTTTGTCACTACAAACAGAAATCCACAAACTGGAAATTATTTAGATGTGCAGACTGTAGTTTCAGTGTTTTGAGTCATTATACTGAATGCGTGTTATTTGTCAAAAATGGCCAAAAAATATTAGAACACCAGGTTCGTTGTGCTTGTTTGTAGGGCTGCACAATTTGGCCAAAAATGTTGTTTTTATATATCAATATAACAAATAATAAGTATGATTATTATTATTACTAAATAAACATTAAACAAAATAAGAAATATTACCATTGTAATAACACTATTTCACTATAATATACAAAACAGTATTTAAGAATAGAATATTTTACATAAAACATTTATTTTATAAGGTTTATAACTATAAATTATTAGAAAAGGTCTAAGGTTTTATTATAAAATATTTCTGATTAAAAATCAGTGATAGTAATTTTTTCCAGCTATCGCTGTAGCTGAATAAGAAGACTGAAATGTTTTAACTGATGAAACATAAAGACAATAAACATACGAATGCGACAGGTTTATCTACATTTATTAAGCATCGCTGGTATTTTTATAAGAATAAAGTATATTCAACCGACACTGTATAGAATTTCTGACTTATTCTCTCATTCTCCTTCACTTCTTCCAAATTCTTAAGTGAATCTGGAGTAAAAACATGTCATTAAATGCTCTCTTTGTTGGACAACAGGTTTGTAAACACGCTCAAACATGCAAAACTGAATCGCATGTGTGCTATGTGGTAAATATATTCATTGCACAGACCGATTTCTTTGTAGCACGTATGTATGTTGCATATATGTTGCCCTGTACAGCCCAAGTCATATTTTCTGTAATTTACACAGTAGAGCATGGTGCTAGCAATGCCAAGGTCATGTTTCGACTCACAAGGAACTCATTAAATGTAAATGTGTACCTTGAATGCATTGTAAGTCGCTTTGGATAAAATTGTCTGTCAAATGCATAAAGGTACATTTAAATGTAAATGTATCATATATGTCAAAAATATGGGATCAATGTACATCTGAGTAGCAAACGGTTCCATTGTTTTTGCAAATGTATCATAATCTTGAAACATACCAATAATCTAAAATAAGGCAAAAAAATATTGCTTCTTTTTTTCTTCAGTGAATCAACAAACTGATTTCACAGAGCTGTACGATGCAACTAAAATAAGGAAAAGGAACTCATAAAACAGGTCCCTCTAGTGGCCAACAGATGAAACCTTTATCTTGTTCCTTTGCAGAGTTAGATATGATTGTGCACCTTTAAAGCAAGCTTTCAGTGATGACAACGATGCAAATGGATTGAGACTGAGACAGACTCGTATTACTACATGCCTTTTCCCTTTAGTTGTCAAATGGTATGTTTTGTGTCTAATTTTGTACTAGTAACAGCGAAAGTCATCAACGTTTACATATTAGAGGGCAGTGGAAATGATATAGAATGACTTTGGCGTGATTTTTTCATGATCTATCTTGAGAATGACTGCGATCATTGTGTGTTTAGGTCTGATTTTCTCTCCATCAGGTCACTATCATTGTTTGGTGTCACTGTTTTAGTGTCTAACCTGTACAGGTGTAGCTGCTCCCTCTGTGGAGCCCATAGACTGTATAAAACCATGGATGTAGTGTCCGTGACGTCACCCGTAGGGTTCCGAAGAGCGTTTTTGAAGCTCAAAAGTGGGCGGAGCCGGCCGTCGCCGTCTTGGCAGCACGTCACCGCGCGTCACTCCCAGATAATCGAAAATGGGCAAAGAGGCGGGGGCAGGGTGCTGAAGCCACGCCCACCTAGCTCGACGGTGGTGACAGCAGCGGCAATCCACCTGTCACTCAAGTGGCCACGCCCTTCATTATGCAGAACTTTAAGGCTTAATATAATTTAAACGGATGAGTTATAAAAAAAATTCACCCCCCCTCACAGTTGTCATGAAGGGAAAAATTAGCTATATAGACCAAAATCATTTTTTGAACCAGGCTGTAAACATGTTTTTTTTCAGCTGTAAAGTTGGGCATTTTAACATGGGGACCCTATGGGATTGACTCACTTTTGCAGCCAGCCTCTAGCGGCCAGTTGATGAATTTCAGTTTAAGTCACTTCCGTGTTGGCTTCATGAGAGAGAGCGGGAGGTTGCCGCTTGGTGGAGACACTTACCTCACCCTTAATGACATCACTTCCTGTCATGTGATCACCCAGGTGTTTATGATACGTGCCAAATATATGCAGAAGTGCGGGTAAATTCTGTTCATGGGCGTTTCTTCAACTAGGGGCACTTTTATCCTTGTGAAGTTGAATAAAAAAAACTTGTTCAAAAGTCACGTAACACAGTCTCATAAGTTTAAATAATTTGTCTAGTTTTAAGGTCTGTAAGAGGACAAACTTAGATTACAAGAGAAATTGTTAATATTTTACATTTTTTCCAACCTGCAATGAACAAATGTCATTTCCACCACATCTCAATATACAGCTGTTATTTAAAAATAGAATAACTTATGCCACTCAAGAATTGTCTAAGATCATTTTTGTAACTAGTTTTACCAGTTTTTCCACAATGTACAATAATTATACATTTGTCAATGAGATAAATTAACTGCCCTAAGGACCAAATGCTGAACTGTACACCTGTCACACTATGAAATGTAATATTGGTTTGGGTAAGAGCTTATTAGAAAATAAATACCTTGAATTTTTATATGAAGTAGAGCATGATCTCATAAATTGTGGATACATTTTTAATGTGTGATGAGAACTTTTTAAATATTAAAAAAAAATGTGTGTGGTGATGGAAATAACAGGGTGTTGTGGAAATGGTTTTTTTCTGCTGTAAAGTTGGGCATTTTAACATGGGGAGTCTATGGGATTGACTCCCTTTTGCAGCCAGCCTTTAGCGGCCAGTTGACGCATTACAGTTTAAGTCACTTCCGTGTTGGCTTCATGAGAGAGAGCGGGAGGTTGCCGCTTGGTGGAGACACTTACCTCACCCTTAATGACATCACTTCCTGTCATGTGATCACCCAGGTGTTTATGATACGTGCCAAATATATGCAGAAGTGCGGGTAAATTCTGTTCATGGGCGTTTCTTCAACTAGGGGCACTTTTATCCTTGTGAAGTTGAATAAAAAAAACTTGTTCAAAAGTCACGTAACACAGTCTCATAAGTTTAAATAATTTGTCTAGTTTTAAGGTCTGTAAGAGGACAAACTTAGATTACAAGAGAAATTGTTAATATTTTACATTTTTTCCAACCTGCAATGAACAAATGTCATTTCCACCACATCTCAATATACAGCTGTTATTTAAAAATAGAATAACTTATGCCACTCAAGAATTGTCTAAGATCATTTTTGTAACTAGTTTTACCAGTTTTTCCACAATGTACAATAATTATACATTTGTCAATGAGATAAATTAACTGCCCTAAGGACCAAATGCTGAACTGTACACCTGTCACACTATGAAATGTAATATTGGTTTGGGTAAGAGCTTATTAGAAAATAAATACCTTGAATTTTTATATTAAGTAGAGCATGATCTCATAAATTGTGGATACATTTTTAATGTGTGATGAGAACTTTTTAAATATTTTTTAAAAATGTGTGTGGTGATGGAAATGACAGGGTGTTGTGGAAATGACAATGAATTAACGTGAATGTAGAGAAACAGTAGAGATATTTATTAGAACAATTCTTAAACTCATCGCACTCATTAAACTCAATTCACAAAGTCATTAAACATAACCACACCTGTTTTTAGTGTAGTGCTGAGTTTGATGTATAAAACTGATTTGTCTCAAAGATTAACGGTTACAGTGCATACTGTAAATAACTGACACAACTGATGGCAAGGCAAAAATATAAGCAATAAATGATGCATCAAAATTTCAACATTGTGAGATAATCATGAGGCTATATAATTGTGAGAGTTTGATACTGAAATGTTCTCATTGGTCTCTTAAATGAACACCCATCTTCTGTAAAGAGTAACTGTAAAGAACACCTGAAACTGTATCATTTAAACAGAGATCATTTCTGTAGTTTTTTGTGAAAAAATGGAAGATAGTTTCACTGATTAGCTTTGAATTAATATTTAGCATTTCATGTATGCAAAATACTCTTATTTCACTTAAAATGTTTAGCTTTTTAAAAACACCCTTGAAGGTACAGCATGTTTGGAAATGACGTAGAATAAATATATTAACTGATCAAGCAATATTTACCTTGATTTTTCTTCATTTGTTGTTGATGAAAATTTAAATTCCCTCCATGTCCAACATGTGCTCTGATGTCACTGAACATTTCCATAGAAACCACCTAAACAATCTTTCACACAAACTTTTTAAAGGGACATTACAGTGTTGTGGTGGAAATGACACCAATACTGTGCGACAGCTATATTTTGTATAGAAAGTAATATTGATCGTGGTCTCACATTAAATACTATTATGTATTTTAATTA